TCTTGAATATGGAAAGGCGGGGTGAGAGAGGGCGAAAAATGGGGAAGAAGCAAGAGTCTGTTTAAACCAGCTCACGGTCCAAAAACTATTTATATATTTTTCTTTTAGCAACTATATCGAAAAAAGCCAGGAATGACCATGAATGATTGCAGACTACCTCAAAATCTAAATAAAAATAGGTATCTTTATTTTCGGCCATTTGCGAAGAAAAAGTCAATTTTTTAATCTCAGGTACCGAGATGTTTGTCCATATGATGCCACAAGGGTACATCTTGTATCATCACCAAATGGTGACTACATTAATGCTAATTATGTTAATGTAAGTTTTTGGCGCATTTTCTCAGCTTTTCTCCCAGAACTTTCCAAAGGATTTTTTAGATGGAAATTCCTTCATCGGGTATAGTGAATCGTTACATAGCATGTCAAGGACCTCTAGCTCACACCTCAGCTGACCATTGGTTAATGGTTTGGGAACAGTTGTGTACACATATCGTCATGCTTACAACAACCATTGAACGTGGACGAGCAAAATGTCATCAGTATTGGCCAAGGTAATTCTTATTATTAACCTAACCAAAAAGTAACTGAAATTAGGAATTATGTAGAATCACTACTTTGGCACAAAAAATTCAAAGAAGATTATGTTGTTAGATGGACTAGTTACCTAGAAAAGAGATCAAAAAAATGGTTTTGTTCTTCAGCCGTATACCTCTGATTCCAAGTTTCTGTATACCCCCAAAGGCTCCAAATTTCAACAGACTTTGAGTAATCCTTTGGCGTAGAAAATGTGAATATTCAAATTTTCAACCAAGTACCCTTCATTTAGGTTACACGAAAGCCATGAATATGGTCGATTACTGGTGACATGCATTCGAGATCGGGAGACGCCCAACTGTTCCTATAGAGAATTCGCTGTGAAAGATCGGACGGTACGTTACTGAGGAAAATTTCTACGTAGGGGCTTGGCCGTTATAAAACTTTAAAAAATCTTTTGATGACTTGTCCACGGTCATCAAGGACGATAAGGCACGTTTAAGTAACTCGGTATACACAGAATAAGAAATTTTCGAAAGTTTTGTTTAGGCACTGTGAACAACATAAGCAATGAGGTGGGGGAGAGGGGGGGAGGAGGATATGTAGACTTCTTTTGTGGGTATTTAAAAGCCCTGAGGCATTGCCCAAGCAACCTCACATGATTCATTTGCGGCCAAGAAATTCAAATTCAAACTCCCGTCTACCACCGTAGTCGTTCACTCTCATTCGCTCGCGGAGTACGGTATTGGGCACGAGTTCAAACCTGAATTCCTTCGCTAAAAATGTATTTTATGAGCTGTTGTT